GGGAACTGATCTCTGTGGTCTGGAGATGAGCTGGAATTCCGGGGGATCCCCAGGTCCCACCTGGAGGCTGGCATCCCTGAACTTCAGTGGGGCACAATGCCACAGAGTCCACCCTCCAAAGTATCCATTTTCTCCAGGGGAACTGACGTCTCTAGTCTGGACATGAGCTGTAATTCGGGGGGGGGGACCCCTAGTCCCACCTGGGGTCTGGCATCCCGAATGTGTATCATTTTCATCTCTGCGGATTGTGTGCAAATTCCTTCGTTGGAGGTGGGGCACTATCTTGTCCCCTACTTTTAAAGGGAGGAAAAGATTGTAAATATTGCCGTCTTGGCCTTGTGTAGTGTTGGATTCTCTGGTTTTAGTAGAGCCAGGCGTCACTGTTAATGTGGCCGAGAGCGCACACGGCATATCCACGCCGCAAAGCCATGGGGCTGAGTGTGCTAGCAGATTTACACAGTGGCACAGAGCCAGTAATCATATTCAAAGTTAATAAGAGTTCTTTATTATTACGGGACTCCATTCTAGACAGTATAGATGAGCGACAGAGATAGAATCTAACCTGTCTAACTACGATGGGTGTGGATGCAGGGGAAATGTGCCCGGCATCCATTGTCCCAAAGATGGAGACAGCGTGCTCCTTCTTTGTGTGTTTGTAAGAGGAAGTGTGTGTGTGTGTGAGAGAGAGAGAGGTGTCAAGCCGGAAGGAAGGAAACGTGTCCCTAAGAACAGGATTCTACTGCAAAGGGGATCTGATCAGAGAAGAGGAAGGAAAGGAGGCCATGCGTGTGTGTCCTGACCTGTTTATCTGACTAAATCTATGATGACCTCCTGAGGACTGAGGCAGAGGACAGCGCATCATCCGTCATTTTTCCAACATGTAGTCATTAGGGCATCTGTAAAAAAAAAATTTTTTTTTTAAATTAAGCAAAATTTTAAGATATCATAAAATGGTCTGGGCGCAGGCAGAAGCAACCTCTTCCAAAGGTGTCCCGGACTCCAATCATTAAGGTCAGTGCTGGAGTCTTCCTTGTGCCAAGTCACAGCCGATTTATGCTGACCCCCGCAAGGGGTCTTCAAGGCAAGTGAGTAAGCGGAGGTGGTTGGCCATTGGGGTGGTGGTTAGGAGCACGGGTTTCATTCCCCACTCCTTCAAGTGCAGCCAGCTGGGTGACCTTGGGTCAGTCACAAGTTTCAGAACTGTTTCAACAGTCCTCGAGAGAGCTCTCTCAGCCCCACCTGCCTCACAGAGGGTGTCTGTTGTGGGGAGGGGAAGGGAAAGGAGACTGTAAGCTGCTCTGAGACTCCTTCAGGTAGTGAAGGGCAGGGTATAAATCCAATCTCCTCTCTCTTCTCTTCTTCTTTGTCGTCTTCTTCATCATCATCTTCTTCGTCGTCTTTGTCTTAAGTTAAGAGAGGGCGTCAGTGTTTCAACTGCATTGGTTGCAAACCTTGTGCATGTTTAGCTGCAAGTCCCACTGAGCAAAGGGGTGACTTCCTCTGGAGTAAATGGGATTCGGGCCGGGCTGCCAGCATCTAGGAGCTGCAAGAACGAAGCCCCGTGACGTTCCTTTGGGATCCACTCCGGCCTGCTTTCCAGAGACACCAAGCAGATTAAAATAGCTGGGGTTGGCTCGACCCACCGGGTTCCAGAAAGAGACCAAACTCTGCCTCCTCATGGGGGGTGGGGGGTGGAATTAATTTATGGCCGCCAGTGGGAAGAGGCTGCAAACTTTGCCCAAGTGAAAGCTGAGAACTCCCGGTATCTGCTGGGGACCGCAGAGGAATTTTGCAAGTAAGGAGAAGACGGGGATGGATCTCGCAAGGAGACGGAGCTAAATCTTCCTCTTGCCTGCTAACAATGAGGTCACATCAACAATCCCGCCTGGATTTATGTCTCGCTGGCATCTTTCGGCCTAGGAAAGTCACCGTGCTCTGACAACAGAAAATCTAAGTCATGATAACTGGATTGGTCTTAAAAGCTGCCTCACCTGAATCGCATTTTCACAAAGTGACACGGGCAGACAAGAAGAAGGAAGAAGAAGAAGAAGATGATGATATTGGATTTCTATCCCGCCCTTCACTACCCAAGGGAGTCTCAGAGTGGCTGACAAACTCCTTCCCCTTCCCCTCCCCACAACAGACACCCTGGGAGGTAGGTGGGGCTGAGAGAGCTCTGACAGAAACGGCTCTTTTTCAAGAACAGCTCTGACAGGACTACGGCTCGCCCAAGGTCATCCAGGAGTTGCAAGTGGAGGAGTAAAGAAGAAGAAGAAGAGACTGGATTTATACTCCGCCCTTCACTACCCAAGGGAGTCTCAGAGTGGCTTACAAACTCCTTTCCCTTCCCCTCCCCACAACAGACACCCTGTGAGGTGGGTGGGGCTGAGAGAACTCTGACACAAACCGCTCTTTTTCAAGGACAGCTGTGCCAGACCCAAGGTCACCCAGCAGGTGCAAGTGGAGGAGTGGGGAATCAAACCCGGTTCTCACAGATGAGAGTCCGCACACTTAACCATGACACCAAACTGGCTCTCAACCACTACACCAAACAAACCTTCCCTTGACTCCAATAGACAGCCGCTCTTCAGGCCTGGTTTCTTTCTTTTTGTTTTAATCAGAGGTCATTTCGGGGGGGAACGCGGGGGAACGCAGTTCCCCCGGGTGAGGTGCAGGGGGCGGGGCACATGACAAAGCCGCGCCCCCTGCTTCCGGCCGCCCCGCTTCCAGCCCTCATTCAGCCAGGAGGAGGCAGGAGAAGAGGGAGGGTAAGTTGCTTCCTCCCCATCTCTCCCCACCCCTGCCTGCCTAGGGCCAGGGAGGGCCTTGGCGGGGCTTCCTCGCACTCCCGCTGGCCTTGCAGGTCCACCGCCGGGCCCCTGATGTCAGGGGGTGTGGCATATGCTAATGAGTTATGCTAATGAGTTCCCCTAGCTCTTTTTCTACGAAATGACCCCTGCTTTTAATATATTTTTTTATTTTATAACACACACTCATAACATACAAACATACATACAAAGATTTCGGGGGTTCCATTTTTGTTTTGTTTTTCCCCATTTGTTGACCTCAAACATTGTCCAGTTACATTTTTTACTTTTTGCCACCTTGTGTTTTTTATGTACATCTCTTGTTTATAGTTAAGCATGTAGTTTTTGTTTTCATCTAGTTCAGTTGTATTTATTTATTTAAACATTTATACCCCGCCCTCCCCGCAATGCCCATGATGCTAATTGTTATACTCTTCCATCCATTTATAAAATCTTGACCATGTATCCTCAAAGGATTTTTCATTGTTAGCCTCTCAATATTAAAGTCAAATTGTCCATCTCTGCTGTTTCAAGTCTTTTATTTATAATTTCTTCTTTTGAAGGTACTTCATTTTTTTCCCTCCAGTATCTGGCATAAAGGATTCTTGCAGTAGTCATTGTATGTTTGATAAGATAGGAATCTTGCTGTTTAAAATTTTTCTGGTTTTTTTTAAATTTATTTACATGCGACTTATATACCACTCATAACCCCTAATGGGTCTCAGAGTGGTTTACAGACTTTACTACTATACAGTAATGATTGAACCTACCTAGGGCCACATTTCACAAGGGGAGGGACTTCCCTATCGACACCCTGTTGGCAGCGCTTCTTTTTCTTCTCCCGGCGGGCTCCGAATTTTGTTGTTATTCCTGGCCTCTTTCTGGCTGCCTGGCGACCTTCTCCTGGAGGCTTGGTGTTTTGCGTGCAAACGTTCTTTCCGGCTGCAGCTTCCGGCTTACGTCCTTCCGGCTCCAGCTGTGCTGCGCCGTCCTGCGTCTGCTTCGCTTGCGTCCCGCATCCTGCGTTCGCTCCGCCTTCCGTCAGGTCTGGTCATCCGGAATTCAGCCGCCATTGTTGTTTCGCCACCGCTGTCTTCACCTCCGTTGCTGCTGCCAACACTCCTGGCATGGAACCAAGAGGTGGGTGCCCCCTGCCACCTAGGGCAGGTACCCATTTATCTACTCGTTTATTTATTTATCTTTCGAACCGCTGGGTTGGCGGTAACACATTCCATAAAAACAGTTCAGGTATATAAGGTACAGTATTTTTTTTAACATTCTCCAGACCTGGTTTCAATGGGTGGCACCGTTGGGGCACTTGGTGTAGAGACCCACACACCAGCGGGGGCCCCGGTACCAAACGGGGATACTAGGGAAGGATAAGCCCAAGCCAGTGGCTGTTCCTGCTGGGGCACCCCTACCCATCAGGAAAGGGAAGACCACACCCCCAGTTCCAGCCTGTTAAATATTGGGATTGAATCATCCCTGATGGAATCAGCCCAGAGAGTGGCTGAGCCTGAAGCACAAGAACAATAGCCGGCCAGGATTCTGAAAGTAGTCAATCCAGTAGTAATGTTATGTAGGTAGCCTATCACTGGAAGCGGGGTGTGTTTAGGTGTGGCAATTGCATGCTATTTAACAGAGCTGAGGCTCTGGAGTCTTGAGTGAGCAAGGGGGGCTCCTGTAGATCTTCCTGAATGACAACTTATCGTCATGCTACGGAGATCAGTTCCCTTAGAGCTAACGGCGGCTTCGGAGGGTGGAGCCTACGGATCACATCCGGTGTTCCCTCGAAGCTGAGTTAGTGTGAGCTAGCTCACAGTTTCTTAGCCTCTGGCTCACACTTTTTTTGTGGCTCCGGGGCAAACTAGTTTATGCAGCAGCCAAACGGCTCGCTCACAACTTTCATGCCAGGAGCTCACAATGTAGAATTTTTGCTCACGGGACTCCACAGCTCAGAGGGAGCACTGTTGGAAGTCCCTTCTGTTGACTTCAGGGCATTTTTACTTTTCTATCCAGTGGGTTTAAGGTTTGCAGCTTTAATTCTCGTCGATATTCCACATACCCCAGCAGCGACTGACGGACGGTAAAACTTCCGCAGAATATGCCAGAGCCGCATTTTCCTAGGAATACTTCCAGTGCCAAGGCCTTAGCAGATTAGAGCCCGAGGAACCGGGATCCTATTAAAGTTACCTCCAGCTTAAGGTCTGAGTAGCTGACAAGTGATTTAGGAGCTTTGGCATAGGGATCTTTTGACGTCCTGCAGAGAGGGGGCTTGCACATAAAGCAACGCCGGCCCAGTTGTGATTTTCTTATTGCAACAAGAACATTCGGACAATTGGGAGACTCTGGAATAAAGACCCAAACTTTCTCTGGGAAAAGGCAAGTGATCTGGGCGACTCATTCCCAAACTTGGTTTCTAAGTCTCTCACCCAGCAGCACATACTCCTCCACACAATGTTGTCTCTTTTACTTTGTCACGCTCTGGTTCCCTTCATTTCCTTTCCCATAATTGGCTTCCTTTCCCCATTGTGACCCGGGGAGCCATTTGAGCATTCTCTGCCCTGATAAATAGATTAGGCAGGGCTCCTAGGGGTGAAGAGTCAGAGGTCAGGATTCCCACGCCTGCAGTCCGTGGACAGATGGGTTTGGTCGAAAAGAGACAGACCCTCTACGAGAGGACGTAACGGCTTCTTCCAGCTCAGCACCCGGAAGCAACGCTCCCTCTAAGCGGGCGGGTCCTGTGAGCAAAAATCCTACTTTGTGAGCTGCTGGCATTAAAGTTGTGAGCGAGCGATTTGGAGGCTGCATAAATTATTTTGCCCTGGAGCCACATCCTTCCTGGGCTGAGACAGAAATGTACGAGCCCGAGGCTAAAAAACTGTGAGCTAGCTCACACTAACTCAGCTTAGGGGAAACATTGCCCGGAACCAACCCTGAAAACAAGGATGGTGAACACAAGGAGAGGAGGAGGAGGAGGAGAAGAAGAAGAAGAAGAAGAGGAGATTGGATTTCTACCCCGCCCTTCACTACCCAAAGGAGTCTCAGAGCGGCTTACAAACTCCTTTCCCTTCCCCTCCTCACAACAGACACCCTGTGAAGTAGGTGGGGCTGAGAGAACTCTGACGGAAATGGCTCTTTTTCAAGAACAGCTCTGATCAGAACTACGGCTTGCCCAAGGTCACCCAGCAGCTGCAAGTGGAGGAGTGGGGATTCAAACCCGGTTCTCCCAGATTAGAGTCCGTGCACTTGACCACTACACCAACCTAGCTCTCTTGCAGGATTGGACCAAAGGTCTAAACAGCCCAGCATCCTGTTTCTCACAGTGGCTGACCGGCAGCCCAGGGAAGTCCATGATCACGATAAGAAAGCAACTGCCTTCTACCTCGCTGCGCCCCCCCGAAAATGATACTCAGTGGTATACTGCATCTGAAGGTGGAGGTTCATTTTATCACTTTGATGGAATGCTAGCCTGTTAATCTACACCTGTTATGAAACCCATAAATTTGTCTGTAGTGGTAAAAAAAAGAGCAAGAGTCCAGGAGCACCTGAAAGACTAACAAAATCTGTGGCAGGGGAGGAGCTTTTGTGAGTCACGGCTCACTTCTACAGATAGCTGAAGAAGTGAGCAGTGACTCCTGAAAGCGCCTAACTTGCTGCAGATTTTGTTTAGTCTTTAAGGTTCTCTTGGACTCTTGCTCTTTTCTACTGCTACAGGCAGACTGAGACGGTGGCCCATCTTGATAAATCTGTCTGCTCTCCTTTTAAACCAGGGGTGTCAAACATATGGCCCGTGGGTCGGAACTGGCCCGTCCAGGGCTCTTGTCCGGCCCACAAGCAACTGGTCATTAACTTTATTGTCAGGTGACAGAGGCTGTGCATTAGGTCCCTATATACTGCCCCAGTGCTAATGAGTAATGGAGGGTGGGCAGGAGGGAGACACTTTAACGAAGTACTGTAAGAGCGTTAATGTTCTGAGCATGCTTGTATTTTGAGTAAAAAAATTAATATTGTTCATTGGGTTTGCCTGTGTCCTTTATAAAGTTTATATCTCCAGTACCTGGCATTACATTTTATGGCACACGTGGCCCACCCCGACAAAGCTCTTGTAACAAATGAGTTCGACATCTCTGTTTTAAACTGTCTAAGCTAGGAATCACAGTCAGTGTTCCCTCTAAACTGAGTCGGTGTGAGCTAGCTTACAGTTTTTTAGCCTCCGGCTCACACATTTTTGCCTTACCTCAGGAAGGAGGGCCCCAGAGCAGACTAATTTATGCAGTAGCCAAATGGCTCGCTCACAACTTTAATGCCAGTAGCTCACAAAGTAGGATTCTTGCTCACAAGACTCCACAGCTTAGAGGGAACATTGATTCACCATCATAAGGAACAGAGCAATAGGAAGCATTTGAACATCACCAGACTCCCCAACTAGCACCAGTATGTTTCAGCAGTGGTGGAGGATAGGCTACAATCTCTCTCTCTCTCTCTGACTCTCTCTCGCTCTCTCTCTCTCTCTGACTCTCTCTCGTATTTTTAAGGTGATGACTCATCATGGGAGCCAGTGCGGTGTAGTGGTTAGATTCTGAGACTCGGATCTGGACGACCCGGATTCGAATTAATTTACAAAACATTACTACTTGATCGTGCCATGGAAGCTCACTGGGTGACCTTGGGCCAGCCACATTCTCTCATCCCAACCTACCTCACAGGGTTGTTATGAGGCTAAAATGGAGGAGAGGAGTATGACGTAAGATGCTCTGGACCCCTATCGGGGAGAAAGGCAGGAGACGGTGGAATTAAATAAATAAATAAAACAGGGAAGGGAGAAGACAGAGGCTGCTTTATGCAGGCGGGCAGTCTTGGTGACCCAGCCCAATGGAGAACAGCCCTGTGGGCATTTCTAGGCAGAAGAGCCCCTGTGAGGGGGTGGTAGCAGTCGGGGGACTGAGAGCCAGAGAGCCAGTTTGGTGTAGTGGTTAAGTGTGCGGACTCTAATCTGGGAGAACCGGGTTTGATTCCCCACACCTCCACTTGCACCTGCTGGTGTGACCTTGGGTCAGTCACAAGCTCTGGCACAGCTGTCCTTGAAAAAAGAGCAGTTTGTGTCAGAGTTCTCTCAGCCCCACCCACCTCACAGGGTGTCTGTTGTGGGGAGGGGAAGGGAAAGGAGTTTGTAAACCGCTCTGAGACTCCAAGTGAAGAGCGGGGTATAAATCCAATCTCTTCTTCTCTTCTTCTTCTTCTTCTTGGTAGGGGATTTGTGCTGGAACAGTTTCCACTAATGAAGAGTTCTACTTTGAGCCACGGAAAAGGGTTCAAAGTTGGTCTCTCCAAAACTGAAAAGCATGAACGGTGGGAAGGGGCAGAATGATGACACTAATTAATACAGACAGAAATATGTAACAGGTGCCTTTCACCCCCCCCCCTTTGCGTATGTGTGGGAATACCAGTAAGTCCTGTCTGTAATCAAACACTCCACGGCTGGATGCCTTCACATTCAAGCTGCACTCACAAATCACAAATCACTGGTCAGCGCCTCTGACTGTAGCTAGACTTAGGTGCAGCTAGAACTAAGGAGACCCTGTCCAGGTAGAGCCCAGATTTCGAGCAGCAGGTAGATTCTCTTCTAGTATATTTGAAATATACTGGGTTCGAATTGAGTGTAGTGATCAGCTCATAGTTTATTAGAGATTTCAGCTTAACTCTAAGACAACTCTGGCAGGGCCGGAGGCCTGCTTCTCGGCATGCAAAACACCCCACCCCCCACACACCCCACTCCCCATGGTAGGCTATTTACAAAACATTACTACTTGATCGGTTTATTCCAGAGTCCTGGTCGGCTATTGTTCTTGTGCTCCAAGCTCAGCCAGTCTCTAGGGTGATTCAGTCAGGGATGATTCCATGCCAGTACATAACACCATTGCAGAACAGGACTAGAACGCGGGAAAGCAAAGAGAAGGGCTTTGGAGAAACGAGCTGTCTGTCATGCATCTGGACAAATATTCCCCTCTCCCAACGAAGCCTCTTTCAAGGCTGAGTCCTGGCTTAAATATTCAGCCCTTCCAGCCAAACAGACCCTCGCTCTTCAGTTTGCTCAGCTACTGAGAGAAACCCCACCCCCACCTTCTGCCTCGAGCCAGTTTTATCTATTTATCTCTTTTTAGGCTTATATCCCGCCCTCCCCGAAGGCTTAGGGCGGCTAACAACGAGGCATAAATGCCAAAGTTAAAACAATAAAAACAGAATAAAACAATACAATACATTACTATACACTAAAATGTTGGTGCTCTAAAGGTCACATAAATCATAAATTACAAGATGGGGTTCTGGAGTTGTTATTATTTGGTGTAGTGGTGAAGTGCGCGGACTCTAATCTGGGAGAACCGGGTTGGATTCCCCACTCCTCCACTTGCAGCTGCTGGATGACTTTGGGGAAGCCATAGCTCTGCCAGGGCTGTCCTTGAAAGGGCAGTTCTGTCAAGAGCTCT